GTAGGAATTCAGCTCTTTAGGCAATTTGTACAAGCCATGTGCTCGCCGCCTGCCTACCCCACTGTCCACCTAAACCCTAAACCCTAAAACCCTGAAACCCTTAAACCCTAAACCCTAAAACCTTAAACCCTTAAACCCTAAACCCTCAACCCGAAGCCCTAAACCCTAAACCCTAAAACCCCCAACCCTACACCCAGAGCAAGCGACTTCTACTGATTCTGCGCCAGGGCACGGCTGGTCCCAGTAGACAAAGCCGCCGGAGCTGGAGAAGTATCCTTCCTTTTTAGAGTTTAGGGTTTAGGGTTTAGGGTTTTGGGTTTAGGGTTTAGGGTTTAGGGTTTAGGGTTAGGGTTTAGGAGAAAGTGTTTGGGATTAGGGTTTAGGGTTGTGGGTTTTGGGATTGATTTAGGGTTTGGGGGTTAGGGTCCTTTTCTTGGGTTGCTGTGGTAACTCAGCCTACTTTGCTAAAGAAGAACCCCAGTTCAGAGTTTAGGGCTTCAGCGCTTTAGGAGTTGAGTTTGCGGATCAGGGTTCAGGGTTCAAGGTTTGGTCAGGGCTTCAAAGGGGTTGAGGGTGTAGAACTTTAGGACTTTAGGACTTTAGGGCTTTAGGGCTTTAGGGTTTCAGGGCTTAGGGTTCAAGCGACTTGAGGGCTTAAGGGCCTTGCTCAGGTGCACATGCTCTTGCACACATCAAAACGCAAAGCAAGCCCTACGGTAACCCCTGCAATAATCCTATGTCCCCTTTTGAACTATGCATGGATCCCTGGATCCGTAAGTATCAAAACCCTAGACCCTACACCCTAGACGCTAAACCCTCAACCCTACACCCTACACCCTAGGCACTAATCCCTCAACCCTACACCCTAGACCCTAAACCCTAAACCCTCAAGGCCCTAAACCCTAAACCCTAAACCCTCAACCCTACGACCCAGTGCCGCTGAGAGTCGGAGTACTTCTTGCCGTTTAATGGCCAGTAGGCGAAGTCCACGTCTCTCTCCGCCAGATATCCTTGGGCGTTTCAGGTTGTAGGGTTTAGGGGTTTAGGGGTTTAGGGGTTTAGGGGTTTTAGGGTTTGGGGTTTAGGGGCTTATGGACTTAGGGGTTTAGGGTTTAGGCATTTAGGGGTTTGGGGCTGCAGGGCTTTAGGGCCAGATCCGTCAGAGCTTCACATGATGCTTGATATCAAGGTCTGAATATGAACCACTACTCCCCCTTTTCCAAACCTGAACACGTATGCAAGCACGCCTCCTCGACGTAGTCAGGCACCTCTAGAACTTACTGACAAACCCATAAACCCCCAAACCTAGACCCGAACCGCTAAACCCTAAACCCTAAACACTGAACCCTAAACCCTAAACCCTAAACCCTGAACCCTAAACCTTAACCCTAAACCCTAAACCCTAAACCCCTAATTGCTAAATCCTAAACCCTAAGCCCCTAAACCCTAAACCCTAAGCCCCTAAACCCTGAACCCTGAACCCCTAGTCGCTAAATCCTAAGCCCTAAACCCCAAGCCCTAAACCCTAAACCCTAAACCCTAAACCCTAAACTCTGAACCCCTAATCGCTAAATCCTAAACCATGCCAAGGCTCTCAGCACGTTCAGCCAGTAGCCTTGTCTAGAGGCGGGGCAGGCGGTATAGGCTTCAGGCTTCAGGGTTTAGGGGTTTAAGAGTTTAGGGTTCAGGGTTTAAGGTTTGGGGTTTAGGGGTTTAGGGGTTTAGGGTTTAGGGTTTAGGGCTTGGCGGTTCGGGGTCTAGGTTTGGGGTTTAGGGTGTTTGGGTGTCTTCAAGGCATACAGTGCATCATCAGAACTCCACAGAACCCATCTGCGCTACTGACACCAACTTCTCTCCAATTCCTCACGTGGCCTAGACACAGAACCCTTGAAGATGCTCCTACACTCAGTCTGATAGATCGAAGAAGCACATTTTGTCTTGAGCTGGGTGTGCCCAAACCCTAAACCCTAAACCCCAAGAATACTGAAGAGCAAGTCGCTACCCCGGACCTGCTGACCGAACTCGCCCATCCACACGGGGGCGGTGTAAGGAAAGCCTCACCGGCTTCGGAGCATCATGCAGTATAGCATAGCAGAATGCAGTATAACGTACTGCAGAGTACTCTAGGCTTGTGCAGTCTAGTCTAGTCCAGTCTAGTATAGTACAGTAAAAACCCTAAACCCTAAACCCTATGTTATGGAATAAAGGACCAGAAAGACTGCAGTGGCAATGGGCAGAGCCGTTTTCACAGACCGAGAGCATCCCTAGTCATACTAGACCAGACTAGACTAGACTAGACTAGACTAGACTAGACTAGACTAGACTAGACTAGACTAGACTAAACTAGACCAAACTAGACCAAACTAGACTACACTAGACTCAACTAGACTAGACTGTACTAGACTATACTCTGTGACACTCTCTGACCCGTTTGGGATGTCGGGATCTTGGACGCGACCCTCCGGGGAGCGAGGCTGGGCAAGGCGAAACGGGGCAGGGCTTCGGAAGCAACAGAGGCCCAGATCAAACCCCCCGCTGACCTGGCCTTCTGCCAAAGCGAAGCCCCATTTTGTGTCGAAGACGAACCTGCCACATTAGGGTTTAGGGTACAGGGCTTTGGGTTTAGGGTTTAGGGTTTAAGGCACTTTGCTAAGCTGGGTGCCGACTTCACTGCTTCTCTTGCCCTGACGGTGGGGGATCTCTGGGCCGATGGTGAACTCCCCCTGGCCCCAACCCTCCACCCCAAAGCCTAAACCCCCTAAACCCTAAACCCTAAACCCTAAACCCTAAACCCTAAACCCTAAACCCTAAACCTTAACCGGGGGCCTAAACCCCGGCCTCATGTACCAGAAGGTGTCAGCCAAATGAGAGAACACCACGAGCACAATTGCCAGGAGGGTGCAGACCTCAGAGCTGACTCTGCTCAAAACTCTACACAGGGGTTAGGGTTTAGGGTTTGGGGTTTAGTTTAGGGTTTAGGGTTTGGGGCTTAGTTTAGGGTTTAGGGTTTGAAGGCTTAGTTTAGGGTTTAGGGTTTCAGGGGTAACATGATCGTAAGCTATGCCGAAGTGCAGCGATTGCAGGAGTTCAAGATGATCGAAGCAATTCACAGTGCGCTCGGTCTGCGAGAGGCAGCGTCCATCCTAAACCTACAGTGACTGCCCGCGACTACCCTTGCGAAATCGGATCATTGGCTATAGACTTTAGCCGAAAGCGACGAACCTTGCAAAATCCGAGAAGATGCTACAGAACCCGAAATAGGAAACACATGCGTCGGCCATGAAGGCAACCAGGGGGCAAAGAAGAACATAAAGATCCTCAGAGGCTCGCACAGCAAGGTGTGGCTTTTTTGGGGTTTGGGGTTTCGGGATCACCAGCAAGCGCACAGCAGGTAAGTGCCGATGGGCTTCAGAGTCTGAATCAATTACGGGTCAAGGGCTCCGCCTAAAGCAAAATTTCACAGCTCTACTTCCAGAAGACATCCGCACAGAACGGCTTCTGTTTTGGGGTTTTGTAGTTAAGGGTTTATGGTTTGGGGTTGACGACCAGTGACCACAACTGGAAGAAAGCATGCGGGGAAGGGCTTAGGGTTTATGGTGTAGGGTTTAGGAGTTAGGGTTTAAGGGTTTAGAGTTTATGGTTTAATGGTAGTTTAGGGTTTAGGAGTTAACGCATTGGGCAGCCCCTTGACCTCAAGACTGCTTGAACCCGAAAGCCCGAAGCCCAGCTGGCCGAATATGACCTCGGGGTTTAGGGTTTAAGCTTTTTGGTGGTTTAGGGGACCTCGGGATTTAGGGTTTAGGCTTTTGATGGTTTAGGGGACCTCGGGATTTAGGGTTTAGGCTTTTGGTGGTTTAGGGGATTCGAAACAACCAAGGGACCTCCCCTCTGCAAAAAGCCTTAGCCCGAAAGCCTGAACTCAAAACCTTAGCCGGACCCACGAACCCTAGAACCTAAACCCTCATGGAACCTTGAAAGGACCCGTATAGAGTAACCTCTGAAGAACCCCAAACCAACCCTAAACCCTAAACTCCCGACGGGTCGCTGAAGAAAGAGTAGCATGCCACAGTCCCAGATTGGAGGCAACGGCGGGGGGGGCAAGTGTCGCTTTCGTCCCAAGCCTGGGGTAAGCTTCGGTTTCGAGACTGGGGCTGAAAAAATGGGGTTTGGGGCTTTTTGCGGTTTAGGGTGTTGGGTTGAGGGATAAGTTAGCCCTTTTTGTTGAAGGGGCTTTACAAGGGTTTTGCAAGAGTGCCTAACAAAGCTTCATAAAGATGTATAAGAGTTTTCTAGGGGCTGATCTGGGGATTGTAGGTTCGTCTTTTCCTTGTCGCAGCGGGTTGGAAGACGACAAGGAGGCTGGCGACACCTCTGATCTCTCTGACG